TGAGGCGTGGGGTAGGCAGGCCCGCGGTGCAGCTGTGTCCAGTGAGCACGGGAGACAGCAGAGCGCCTGTGAGGCGTGGGGTAGGCAGGCCCGCGATCCAGCTCTGTCTGGCGAGTGGCCCGTGTGCTTTGGCACACCCACCACGTCGGTCTCCACCGTGTCTGACCTCTCCGTTTTGCAGAGGAGATCCTGCGCGGGCGCACGGCCATGTGGATGTCTGACGGGGGCCACTCGGTGCTCTTCGCCACATTCAACGACACGCTGGTCGAGGAGATGAAGATCCCGTGGTACGGCACTGTGGACGAGGACCGCCAGTACCCGGACATCCGTAGCCTGCGCTACCCCAAGGTAAGCCTCCGCGCCCACTGGGCCCTCCGGCCCGACCGATTGATAAATCGTTAATGCTAGTCCGGCCCCTCGTGACTGTCCGTCTGCTGTCCGTTTGCTGTCGGTCGCTCTGGCCTCCCGAGGGCGCAGCGCCCACCCGCCGTCCGGCAACTGGACGACCGACCCGCCAAACTTTGGGCTCGGGAAATAAATTCTCTGGTAATCTGCTCGAGGGTGGGGCGGGGGGCTCCCGTCATGCTACCCCTCCCCCTCGACCGTAGATGCCCGCGCTTGGGAGCTTGGAAATTAATTAGAGTGCATTTTCTGAGACTGCCGGCGAGACGTATAAACTTTCCTCGTTACGTGCTGCTGTTGCTGGTGCTGCGCCATGACTCGCCGGACTAAAACTTAACTTGGAGAATCTTTCACGTTTCTCTCCCACCCTCTGGCCCGCACATCTCCCTCTCTCTTTCCAACCCTATCCTCCTCGCATGAGCTGCGAAATGATCGCCATTTGTTGCAGCCCGGCACGCCGAACCCGATCGTTACGCTCAGGGTCGCCAACTTGACTGTGCCGTCGGACATCCGCACCAGGGACCTGGAGCCGCCGCTGGCCTTTGGCTTCAATAGGTGAGTGGATTGGCGCGCCGCGCACCGCCGCTTTTTCATCTCTGATCGCGAGGGAAAAGACGGGAGGGTTGGGGTGATGAAAGAGGTTCTCGACATTTGCCTTCGTTCTCGTTTCCAACTCGCAAATGTCATGGTGGTGAGCGCTGTTCACGAATATTATTACTTTAACTTATCGGGCTCAGAAGTACAAGATGATTAAAAGGAAAGGATTGAAAGGATTCATTCCCGCTGGTTGAGATGGCGGTCTTGAGATCGACGGGTGTTCTCGGCTGCTCCGCCCCACCCGCCCGCCGCGCGGTACCGGACCGCCGTTCCGAAAGCCGTAAACAGCGAGCGACGGTGTGATATGGGCTTTATTGATGGCTGCGCGGTAATCGAAATGGTCAGAGGTGAGGGGCGGGGGCGCCCAGATTGGGGAGGGGATGGG